TTCTGTTTCACATCTCTGAGCCTTTGCCCAGGCTGTTCCCTCTGCCTAGAATACTCTGGTCCCTCTGACTTCCAGTCCACCTGATGGCCTCTGTCAAACAGCTTGAGACACATCTCTGTCCCCACTGTTCCCTACCCCTAAGTCCGCTCAGAGAGACCCTCTGTACTACTGTGCTCTCTGGATCAGGATTTACAGAGAGCAGACACCCCCAGTGCCCAGAGCCACTCCAAGCACTTAATAGGACCTAATGGTTTAGATGTCTCAAATGTCCACCCTTTAAGGCCTTGCCTGGACGCCCCTCCTGCAGGACATCTACTGCTGATTTCTGTGGGCAGTGCGTGCCCAGGCTGGCTCCAGGTTCCCCCATGCTTTTTCAGCTGGGTCTAGACTCTTCCAGCCAGAAAACCTCTCCTTAGGAGGAGTTAATGAGCTGGACCTTGAGGGAGGAGTTAAAGGCAGGCTCCAACCTCCCTGCCTCGACATCTCCTTGGCATCGTCACCCTCACGCTCCTCCCACTTAGTGAGCCAGAGTCACCCTCACCTCTAACGCCTGGGCCCAGTTGCTTGCAAACTGCATCCTCCCTCCTTCCCATCAGCTCTCAGCAACAGCCTCCACCCTAGTCTGTGCCTAGGGCCCCTCTCCAGCAAAAGATCCTCCTTTAACAATTTGGGACCCCCGATGCTCATCCCTCTAAAGTTCTAACCCTTAACAGCCCTCCCCACCAGTCCACTGGGCTCCACCTCCTTGTTTACTCCAAAGAGAAGACATTGCTGTTACCGTGGTAACAAGTGCTTTGTGGGAGGGTAGGGGGAATGGACTAGAGAAAGAAAGTAGTGGCTTCAGGACACTCGCAGAGGCATAGGAGGTAGGGGGTGGGCAAAATGGCACAGGGCCTGGGGAAGGGCACCAGGGGCTGTGATCCACCCCACACCATGGCTGCTGTCAGCCCTATTTCCCCAGCCTCAAGGAGAAAAGGAACAGGCTAGAAGGGAATGTCTTCCTGGAAGGAGAGGTTTTCCTCGTGGAGGAGACCGAAACATCCCAACCTCATTACCCCCCAACAGGAGAACAGGTCTCCTGGAGAGCCCGGCTTGGTGGGGGATGGGCGAGGGACTGCATGCACCGGAGCCCAGGTTGTTCCCCTCCAGGGAGCCTGGGGCACAGAGAGAGGGAACAGCTCACCCACAGCGTGATAGGGACAGTGCCACCGGCAGTGGGGGGGCGGCACTATGCCAGTGTCCCGAGCTCCAGGGGTTGGTGGCGGCAGGGGGTGGAGGGGCCCTCCTCCAGCCCCTGGGGACCTGGCTGTCCCAGATGCCACAGTCGGGAAGTGTGTCAGGCACTTGCGTAAGAGGCTTCTATATTTTCATAAAATCGTAATTACCGATGCCAGCCATGGGCCTTAGCTCATTAGAGAGGTATCTGCCTCTGCGGCTCCGGGGTGGGCTGGCAGGGGGACATAGGGGAGACTGGGCAAGGCCAGGCCTCTCACTGCGTTCTCTGCATCCCCAGCCCCACTGAGCCTGGGCCTTCTTCCTCTCCCCAGCTGGGAGATGAGAATTCAGACTTGGCCTCAACCATGACAGGCTCCCCCACCCTAGGAGCCCTGATTCTAAAGCTGGAGAGAAAGGCCAGCCACTCATGTTTTCAGCTTGGGCTGCCCTTGGCAACCCATGGGAGCAGAGGCCACAGCAGGAAGGAGATTGACCTGAAAGTGCTTATGGGAGGAAATAGGTCAGTCCTCAGGGAAGGACATGCAATCCTCCACATCAGAGAATCTCGACCACTCAGAGTGGAGGGGGCCCTGGGGGTCATTCAGACCAGTGGCACTTAACCTTTTGGGCTCTTAGAGTCTCTAAGGAGCAGATGAATCTCTGGACTCTCCCCCAGAAAATGCTTATCCTCCAAATTTTTACACAGCTTCAAGGAGTTCATGAATTCCCTGAAGCTCACTTGCAAGCTCAAGGTTAAGGATGCATAATAATAATAATAACTATTTATTGTGCACTTACTCTGCCCAGATCTTTATATATACTAACTCATTTAATCCTCAAAAGAACACTAAGAGGTGTACAATTATTGTCCCCATTTCAATCCAACTCCCCATTTCTACCTGATCTAGTCCAATTCTGCCAATCTAAAAAGAAAACCAGGGCCGGCCCCGTGGCTTGGTGGTTGGGTGCGCGCGCTCCGCTGCTGGCGGCCGGGGTTCGGATCCCGGGCGCGCACCGACGCACCGCTTCTCCGGCCATGCTGGGGCCGCGTCCCACGTACAGCAACTGGAAGGATGTGCAACTGTGACATACAACTATCTGCTGGGGCTTTGGGGGGAAAATAAATAAATAAATAAATAAATAAATAAATAAATAAATAAATAGAAAGAAAACCATAGTCCCTCCAGCCCAAGGTCACAGAACAGGAAGAAAAATCAGATCAGAATGGGGACCAGGCTCTCTTAACATGCTGGACATTGTGCTGCACACAGATTCGAAGTTATCTCGTCCATCCTTCTGTCCCTGGGCTCCAGAGAGCCCAGCGCCCCCTCTGGTTCACTCGGCTCTCCTAGTAAGAGGCACCCCAGTAGCCCATTAGACTTCTGGTCTACAGAGCCCTTCTGAGAGTGTGACTGCCGCTTATCCCTCTGTAGGATCTTGCTCCTTGCTCGGCTCATCCCTCATTTCTGCCCTCTGAACTTGAGATGGGACAATGTTCCTCCTTCCCCAGGAGGAGCTAGCCTGGCTGCTCCTGCCTTGTCCCTAGCCACTGCAGTGGGAGTTGTCGGCACTGAGACAATGACTCAGACTTAGTTCATGAAAGACAGCTCTGAAACATCAAGGCTGTGAGCCAGAAAGGACATCCAGAGGTCATGGGATCCAGCCCACTGCCTCCTCCACATCTGTCCCACCTCAGGCTTCTGATGTGAGACTAGATGGGCCCCAGGGCCCACCAACTTTCCTGCCTTTCCTTGGTCACCGGTGACACTGATTCCCCTGGGAATGCTTCCCCGAGTCCAGTGAGACTCTCCTTCTGTGTCCACTCCCCGTGGAATAACAGGCTCCAAATGGCCCAGGAACGTGAGGGAAGGAAGCTGTTTCTTCTCTCTGCCTCAGAGAAAGCACTGGGAAAAGACAAGCTTCCAGAAGAAAGGAGGGAAAAGAAGAAAATAACTTTCCCTGCCTGTCTTTCCCAGGCTAAGTGGCATCCTGCACTATTTCATTCATTCACCTAAGGGTGAGGGAGGCACAATCTCCGTTTTGCTTATGAAGACATCAAGGGTCTGAAAAGTTTAATTACCTACCCAAGGTCACACAGTTAATTTGTGACTATACAGTTATTGGACTTTAAGGAAACTTGAGCCCCGGCTCTTTGGGGAGAAACAGGAGTACCTCTTCCCGGGGGGTCACCAAACACAGAAGTCCCTGTTTACTCCAGCCCAGGATAGATGGAGGGCCTGATGACCCTACCTCAGGTTGCTCCGAGCATCCCTAAGACTGAGTTGCCCAGGGAGGGGACATTGGGCTGAGCTGGGCTGGGCAAGAGGGAGGAGGGCAGTCCTCAAAGGGGATTGGGAGAAGGCTGGTAATGAATGGGCCTTTGGAGAAACTGGTCCGAGGGCTGAGGCCAGGTTCTATTGAAGCTCCTTTCAGGAAAGCTAGCACCCAGAGAGTCTGCAGCTGCAGTGGATGGGTCTGGAGGGGGAGGGAACAAAGCGCCCACAACCACAAACCCTCGTGTCGTCCCTTGTCCTACTTCTGCCACTGGCAAATAAATATATATTCCTAGACACAGTAACCTGAGCAGTGCTCCAATGGTGAGCTCATCCTTGGAAAGACGGAGATGGCATGAATGGCTATGTGCACAGGGTGGGGAGTGGGGGAACGCAGGGTTCAACCCCTGTCTTCCAGGGCTGGCCTAAAAGCAGGACCCTCTGGAGTGCCACCCCCACCCCCCATCTCATCACCTACAGCAGATTGAGGAGGAGGGAGACTTAGACCCAGAAGTCTCTCCACCCACACTCAGGGAAGGATTCTCTCAACTCCCAACCTATCTCCCTGTGGACAAGCCAAGAGACGAAGCTAGACCTTTTGGTCAGGGCCAGAGGGGGCAGGAGGTGAGGGAGGAGGACTTGGGGAAATGGCAGGTAAGCAACATGCATTAGAAGAGGTACCTTTAGGCCAAGTGGACAGAGGACACCTTGGAGGGTAAGAACCCTCTTCTCCCCACCTCTCCCTACCTGCTGATCTAACTCCATTTGTGGTAGGATCTTTAGGGGGGAGGCATGTCTTGAGGTGGTTTGGGGACTTCAGGTGTGGGGATTGAGGCTCTTTCTCTGCTGAAGTCCAGACACCAAGACTGGAAAGGAATACAGTTGTCCCACTTTCCGTCCACAAAGTAGGGTTTGTCAGGCCTGGTCTTTGACACATGATAAGTTGTCCTTTCTCTCCTTAAGGAAACCCCTACCTCATAGTTCAGGGGTGTGTATATCTGGAGAGAGCCTCTCCAGGGCAGAGAGACATCCAGTTAACGGGGCACAAGTGTCTCCATTCTTCCTCCACTTCGCTTTCAGGAAGTCCTAACTTTGATTTCATTCTCAGCTATCCTTCTGCAGATCCAACCTATTTCTATTTTCCCCGACCCCATCCACACTCAAATACGATCTCCGGAGCGTTCCTTCAACCTTGTCACGCCCCCCACTCCCCCTCTTCCGAGGTTTTTCGGTGTAAAACTGTCCCCTCCACTTCTTTACCCTCCAAGCCCCTCCCCATCTTGTCGAGCCCCCCCAGGCTCCGCCCAGCTCGCCCTCCTGGCCACGGCAGCAGCCAATAGCTGAGAACCTGATTTGCATAGCGGCGCCGTGGGGGAGCAGCGGAGGCAAGGGGGAGGGACCAGGCGACCTCCTAAATCAAAGTTGGGAGGCGAGAACTGGGCGGAGGGCCCGCGGGTGCCGGGTTGGGCCCGGCGGGGGGAGGGGCAGGGGGATGGGGGGCGGGCGCAGAGGACCGCGGAGCCGGCCGGACACGGACAGCTCCGTCGCTCCCTCCCTCGGCTCATCCCTGCGTCCCCACTTCCCTCCTCCCCTCGCTCTGAGCAGCATCCTCTGCACACCCTCGGTCCTCACTCCCGCGTTCGTCCGGCTCCCGCGGCTCCGTGTAATTACCTCCTCTCACCGGCCAACCCCGGAACTTTCTCCACCCGGGCCCAGGAGTGGGGGGTGGCTTCGCCTGGGCGGGTTTCAACTAGGGTTCATTGGGGGGCAATCTCTGGAGAAGGGCTTCAAGGTCCCAGAGAGACGCCCACCACCCGCAACCTGCCCCCATCGGGCCTGCCGTCGGGTGTAGGTACCCTCTCGCCCCTTCTACCCCAACCATGACCGAAATGAGCGAGAAGGAGAACGAACCGGATGACGCGGCCACCCACACACCCCCGGGGACCGGCTCTGCCCTCCAGGAAACCAAGGTAACTCGGGAGTCACAAGGCCTGGGCCCCTTGCCCGGTGCGCCCCTGGCCCCCGCGCCCTCTTCCCGACGCGGTCGCCACTGTGGGCTCAGGTGCCCTGGGTCACGGTAGCGGGGCCCCTGTGATCCCTAAGGCTCCGCGTGGCCACTTGGGGGGAGTGGGTTCGCGACGAGGGGCCACAAGGAGCCCCCATCACACAAGCACGACACGCCCTTGCGCGCGTGATGAGCGGATGCGCTACCGTGACCCTCCAGGGAGGTGGGAACTGGTCTTTGTTGGAGGGAATCGGCGCAGCGAAGGCGGAGGGAGTGTGTAGCGGTGTGTAGCGGGTTTGGGACGGTGTACGCGCCGTGTGTGCGTGCGAGGCGCACCCCTCCCGTGTCCGCCAGGTCTCTGTCTGTAGCTCAGTCTGTCCCTCTCCCTTTGCCTGTGTCTCTCTGAAAATGTCTCTACAACCTGTTTGTCTCTGTCTTGGTGTCTCTCTCTGTGCGTCTCTCCCGGGTTCTCTCGGCGTCTCTATGTGTTTATCGGAGTCTCTCTGGACGTCTCTCTCTGACCCGCCGCAGTCCTGCGTTTCCCCGCTCCCAACCGGGCTATGCTCGGGGACGTGAGGCCGCGGCCCAGGGGTGCGCAGCTCCGAGTCCGCGCTGGGGGCTGCGGCAGCGCGGCCCATCGCGGGCGGGGACAGGGGGACTGTTGCGGCTCCAGAGCAGAGATAGGCAGCCCCACCCCCC